ATTTTTTTCAGGGCCCAGGGTACTAGGCTCTCTCTCTCTCTCAACTACTACTGCAGCAGTGCAGCTGCTACAAATAACACTACTAATTTATGTTTTTTAATAAAAAACCCCCAAAAAAATGGGTTCTGGGGTCTCTGGGGACTCGGAAATGGATTCTGGGACTGGAAGTCTGGGGACTCGGCATTCGGCAACTGGCAAGTGGAATTTATATTTTTATATTTACATTCATTTTGATTTTCATTTCTCCGTCATTGTGCACAAAAAGCCAAAACACCAATCGCTGACAAATTTAAAATACGCCAGCTTTTTTATACATTATTAGTTGAATAAACACTTACCATTGGTCATGTAAGCAAATGATACTTGCTCAGATGCCCCCGAGTTTACCCCATTCTGCCATTCACTACTTCAGTCGTCAACTCGTCAGTCTTCAGTTCTTCCACACACCCCCCCAACCCCCACCAACCCCCCGCCCTAACCCCATGCCCCCGGGGCCCGGGCCCAAAGTCTCCCAGAGTCCCACGCCCCTCCTCAGTCCATACTACCCTTCGTGATGAGAAAGTTGTCCTATTCCACGCACCTATATGCCAACGCCTGAAATCAATATAATTAGTTGAAACACATTATGATGGTGAGACGTTCATCATAACTAATACCATGCAAGGTGATTTGCTGACTTACACCGATTTCCGGGAAGCGATTATGCTTTTTATTCATTAAATAAATATGTAGGACAGTTGACTTGCTTGTGAGACGGTGAGAGTCACGACTGGTGCGGTGATCAGATCTTTAGAAGTGTGTTTAAAATATGTAAAATATTTTATATATAAAATGAGGTAAATATTATATAAAATCTGTAAATACCAAAAACCTCACATCCACGACGAGAAAGCTGTCATCAAAAACAAGACGTTGTAGCAAAGACAACTCAGATTCGCTGCGACCTTCTCTGTGCAACAGTAGAATAATTCGAAGAGGCATAGCACAGTATGTTTAGTCAGTGTATACTGCAGAGGGTGGCGGCATCGCTAGTTCTAGCCACAGCCGTACAAGCAATTAACGATGTTGATCAGTGCGGAAACAACAACGGTAAATTCACTATCAAGATTAAAGATGGTGACTTGAGGCCAGATAGCAGCTCCAATACTATGGAATTCAGAACTATGGTCAACAATGTTGAGTGGATGAAGACCAAGCCCAGGTACGGGAGCGACGGGTTCGTTTGGAATATTGAGGGACATGTACACCGATTCGACTGCGCAGTCATGTATTTCGAGCTGTTCGAGGATGGATGGATCGGTAAGTGGCGTTTTGTATTACTACACACTTCCTAGACGTCTGTACCGCACATACATTATCACGGTTAGTTTTGCACTGTCGTGTACATAATCGATTACGGCTGGTGAAAGTATTCATACATATACATATATATATATATATATATATATATATATATATATATATATATATATATATACGTATA